AGTTTTGACCATTTGAGAGTGCCAAACTTTCGACCAAGTGCGAGATGGATGCTCTTGCATCATACTCCTCGGATTGAAGAAAAGTTGACCTCGACTTCATGGTCCTTATCTTCTCTTAGAAAGCACATCAAAAGATCTTCCTCATTCAAAAATATATAAGACTAAATACCTCTATATAGATTGATCTTTGTACGTGTACTCATCCATCCTCTCACAAACTTGGAATGGTTTTTTGATGTTGTCTAGCTTAACATACCTTCCTTTTTCCACTTACTCATTCTTGATAATTACCCATACTAAATATCTCTTATTATAAGCTACCTTAGTTCAAAATTTATAGACTTCAACCCATGGGTTTTCTTTGCTTGCATTTCCCTCAATGTTTGCATTATGCTTGAATTCAATAAAGTTAACGACCTTGGCTTGATTCTCTAGCCTTCTTTCATTTTTTCCAATAACAACTCTTCCTACATTCCCTATGGTAGCGAGTGCCAAAAAAAATATGGTTCTCTCGATAGCGAGCACCATATTCTTGCCCTTGGAATTTGTCAAAACCATAAGCTAGCTTTCATTGTCCTTAATGGCAACAACATCTTCTTTATTCCTCCATCTTAGACAAACCTTAGGTAACTCTTATTACCCTCAACAACACTTATATTAACCTCATGAATCACGGAACCATCATTAACACTACTAATGGTAACAACTTGGTTAACACAATCGATAATAACTCCATGAACAACTCCATCCATAGTATTCACATCAACAATCTCAAGCATATCACCATGCTTACCTCTAGCGTATCCATGTTAGCCTCAAGCATATCACCGTGCTTACCCCTAACATAATCCATTTTAGCCTCAAGTATTTCACTATGCTTTCCCATATCATGACGTATGATAGATGTTATCTCATCCATTCCGAGTATTAATAACATACAAAACATCTAAATCATCAACATCAAATTCATCACACTTAGGGCTAGCATTTAAATAAACACAATCATCTATTCTACTAGCCTTAGCATACTCAAAGATATCATCATCATCAAATGTATAAATGTTTTTTAATGATAACCATGATTCATAGGATGTGATTTACGAAGATATAAGCTCGAGTGAACTAGCTACACTCTTGGCCTTTACCAAATCAATTCCTCTATTGTTCACCATTTTTTTCTACAAAATCACCATGGTTGATGACACTCTTACCTCGATCTTATGGATGTGCATCAAGATTTTCTAGCTCACTTTCATGCTTTCTTTCACCATATAATCCTAAAGATCAATTTCTACAAGTCTACTAGTAAGCTTTTTGACTTGAGAGGGATCACCTTACACTCCTGTCACTAAAAGAACTATAACTTCGGGTAGGATGCTCTAGATTATGCACCATTCAATGCATTAGAAACTATATTTAAACACATTCTAGTACTATATAATTTTTAAATAATTTATTTGATGCTGATATAGTCTTACATCTAAATGTGAAACTAAAATCTAAAATCGTCACAAACATTATTCTAATACAATTCTTTGCTACCAAATGAACCTCCCCTTTTTAGCCTTGACACATTATTCTATCTAGTCCTCCACAGGTCAATGTTTCATTTGTCTTTATATATTTGGATAGTGAAGAATCACCCAACTCATGGAACTTTTTTTTATCAACATCAACAAGACTAAATTATGCTTGAACGTCAACATCATGTTGAGAATTTTCGAATAATTTTTCAGCAAACCCATGCTCCCCCAAATAGACTTCATAGCTACTATGAAAATCATTCTCAATTAAATCTTTAGTGGAAGTAGAATCTTTGACTTCATTGTTAAAAATTTTAGTTTCTAAAACATTTTTTAAGTCGACGGTATCATCAACTCTTTCGCTAGAGCTTCGGATGCTTTTGTAACTAACAACGTTAGGTTCCTTAACCTCTTTATCATCTTTATCTCCTTCAAAAATCTTAACTTCAAAACCCATATCTTGTTGCTGGAATGTTTCGTTGTTAATTTTATTTACTCCACTCTCAATGAACATAGACGTAGAAATGACCTTCTTGTATATAGTAACACGTCCAACAAAACTTTTTCTTTATGCACAACATCACAATCTTTACTTTAATGAATGAGAAGGTCTAAGTTTTTTAGAAGCCATCATCTATGACTCGGGGATCATATTTCCAAGGTCTCCCTAGAAATAAGTGGCAAGCATCCATCAACACCACATCATACCAAACCTAGTCAATAAAGGTTTTGCCAATGGAGAAAGGCATCAAATATCTCTTTGACATTCAAATCTCATTCCCACTTTTGCAATCAAGTCAAGGAATAACGATAGGGATGATCTATTGTTACCAAATTCAATTTCTCCATCATCAATGAAGACACCATGCTCTCACATCTACCTTCGTCAATGATTAGTTCACTCACCTTGCCACTTGATGTGTAGCGGGTGTAAAAAATATTAGTCCTCATCCAATCTTCTTTAATAGCCATGTCCATACTCAATACTCTTATATCAACCATCTCTACAATCAGCACAATATGTGAACAAAACAAACCTTAGCTTTAATACCAAACCGATGCTAGATGAAGAGATGCTATGTCTTATGAAAAACTCAACAAGCACAAGCAACACTTAAACGACCCTAGGTCGAGACAATTAGAGTAGGAAAAAACCTCAAAAAAAGCTTAACCACACCTCAAAAAACATAAATTATCAATTCATAAGCCTCTCAAACACATAAACCAATCAACACCTATAATAAACAAACACACAATAACGGTACCCGAAATTAAGTCGGATGCATTCACTAACCAAATCTAATAAAAAAAAAGAATGAAATTTTCACACAATCTAGATACTATATAGAAGAATTTGTATATCAAATTTTAGCTCAATCTAAGCTCCCTAACCCTCTTTTGTATTAAGTCATTTTTCCGGATATAATAGGTTTCAAAATTTGCACCAATTTCCATGACCCAAAAACATAAGAAAATATTTTTAAATTTTTTAGAAGAGTTAAATTAACCTCTTAACTACCTATTATAAAAAAATTTAGATAAAACTAAAATTCCTAGCCTTAGTTATCAATGTGAAGACAAAAACTATTCGAGTTTAGAACTTTAATCCGTCCATAATTTAATAAGCAACAAAACAATGACTCATCCTAAGTAGAGATCCACTACTCTAGATGATTTAAAAAGTACGTAGTGGATACAACAATACGGAGTCTACTTGATATAATTTTGATGTGAACCTATCATAATCGATCACTTTAAAGATGTGTTTATGACTTCCTAGCCAGTCTAAGCAAATAAATACACAAAATTATAGAGAATCCACTCTAATTTTTTATTTAAATAATCATCAAAAACTTCTTTGGAAGGAGCATACAAATATGCTTAAATAGTCACATATAAAAGCTCTAAAAGAGTCGGCTAGGGTAGGAATTCTACCTTTGTCGAATCTTGCTTCCTTTATTTCCTCTTTTGACTTGGACTTATATCTTCCATCTTTAATTAGTATTTTATTAATATAAAATAAGTAAATCTGGATCCACGTTATATGAAGTTAAAATAAATAAAAGAATCCTTAGCGAATAAGAATCCATAACACAAAAGATTATCTATCCACTTATGCACATTCGACCTTATCCTACAAGGAAACCCACCCACTCCTATGGACTAATTGTTTTCAACGTAATTCTTTATAAATGAAATTAATTCAACTAATTAAAACATCATCTAAATAATTAAAAGGTAATCTAAAGAAATAACACGTGCTAAAATTAATAGATAAAGGGATGAAAGTTTCAGCACTCGAGAGTGCCAAACTTCCATCCGAGTAGGAAGGTGGATGCTCGTACATCATTACCATTTCTTTTATACTCTTTTATAAAGCTCTACTTTTGAATGCTATCGGGTTGTTCTTACAAATGAATACAAAATTTAAATAGATGTTAATAAGGCGAATTGTATATTTGGGATTGCCCCTTCAATCTTATTTGGGTACTTAATAAAAGCATCATGTTTAATTTCCTAATGGTTTGAAGTTTTTATAGATTGAAATTCCTATGCTATAAATAAAATGGTAAGTCGCCAAAGTCCTAACTTTGGGTGCTTCTACTACTTGGAAATTTTAACTCTCGACCTAGATATTTACTTCTTGATTTTGGGTTGCATATAACTTAAATTCCCTCTAAAACCTAACTTAACGAGTCCTTCACTAAATTCTGCATGTTTTACTTGTAGTAATTTCCTTTGAAGGATTTGTTGTCGACTTGTCACTAGTCAATGAGAGTATGTTTGTGTTTTTTGCATTACTACTACGCTTTTAGATTTTAGTTATTAACTCATGTTGTTTCTCTCTTCTTGGACTATCTCTACCTTCATTTCTACTAGATTATTATTTGTTTCCTTTATGTCTTCCTCATCATTGATTGGATTGGGTGGATTTTTCTTTTTTTACAATCTCGAGCTATCAAGATTTTCTTTTTGTGGTTCAATCTTGCCATTCGTAATAAGAAGGATTTTAATCTTGTAATAGCTTTTTTCTATTGTTGCTAATGTCTTGCAAGTCTTGGGAATTGCTAGATTTTGGTTGCTTGTACAAACATGTCTTCTCCTATTCTCCTTTGTTGGTTAGCTCTTCAAAATCATTGTCACTAATTTTATTACCATTTCAAGTGATTGCCTCTTAGTATTGTTACACTCTTTCCCTATTGGTTTGGATCACACTTTTTTATATTGGTAGTGGACTACTATCTCGTGAGGGTTTTTAATTCAAGAATTTGCTTACACCCTAAGAGTTGATATATTACTTTTAGCCTATACCCCCATGTTAGGTTATCGATTGAGACCAAGTACTTGGCTACCATTATTACAATTCACATAGTCAAATTCTACTATGGATTAACTGTTTATAAAACACTTTTTTTTCCTATTACCCTTTTTTTCTTTAATTTCTTTTCTTTCATGTACTACTTGGTTCTTAATTGTTCACTCCTCATTAAAAACCCCACTCTTTTCTTCCTCTATGCCTTCATTCTTCTTCATTTTTCTTGCCCCTTTCTTCTGCTGTAAATATCATTCCCGCCATTCGGTGCCTTTGGGCTATGATTTTTTTCCTTTTTTCCTTCTTTTTCTAGTAGCTTTCATTGTTCTCTTTCAACTTTTGCTTTTCTTCTTCGATACACATCTAATGCTTTTTTTACTTTATTTGGTGCCATCATTTTATTCCTTTCATCTATACAACGAGTTGCTTTTCCTAAAAGAAATAATATTTCAAATTGGTCCCTTTTCTCTTCCATCTTGCTTTTATTTTGTAGCGGGTGTTGCTTATTCGGTTCAATTTTTTTTTGGTATAGTATTTTTTTAACCCCTCTCTCTAGCTTAAGGTCATTGAGTTTTAATTTTTTTCCCCTCTCTCCGAGTTCAATCAATAGTGTATGTGCTTGGTTGGTTTCTTCTCTTCCTTTTCTTTACTTTGGGTGATATCTTATCGCGAGTTGTTCTCAATCGAACCTCAATTGATTATTATTTTTTCAAATCTTTATAGTATATTGCTTGGATTGATCCGCATTGACCCGATTAGCTCATCTTAGTAGTTACTTTACAATTTTATTCTAAGATAAGTCATCTTATAACCTTTTTTGTTGATTTTTTAGATTTTTTATGCCAAATTTATCATTGTAATTGTTTTTTTTTTTTTTGGTGCTCTTTTGTTTATTATTTTCACATAACTTAATCATTATTCTTATCATCCAGTTATGTAACATGTTTTGGGATGATATTGCTTTTCTAGAAGGGTGGATCTCTATTGCTTTGCTTACATGTATCTATTGTTGATATTCTGCTAAACAAGGTAATTTTTTTTTGTCTTTTTTTTCACTCTCTCATTATTTTTATTTAATTTTTTTTAGTGTTCTTATAGTTGTTTATTAGTTTCACACAATTTAATGTTTTTTATTTTATCAAAATTTCCCAAATGTAACATGGATTTACGATAAAAGAAAGAAAACACAAGAAACACTAAATTGACAAAACATTTGAAACATAGGTATTATTTAGCCTTTAAAATTTAAATCTATGCATATAGTACGGATTTTGGCAAAAAGGTTTTGATCTTTTTTAATTTGGGGTTGACTCAAGAAAATGTTAGTGGGTAGTTTTTTATTTTCAAAGAAATGGAAAGGGTTGGGTTTGGCCCAGCCTCGTGAGGAAGTTTAGCATGGGCAAGGCTAGGTCGATTTCGACTTAGGCTGGAATGGCCTGAGCTTGGGTTGGTTTCATCCAAGCCGAAGCCTCCATAAAAAATTAAAAAAAAAGAAGAAAAGAAACGAAAAAAGAAAAAGAGGAAAGGAAAAGGAGATGAGTCTAGTCCAATAAGCCCATGGCCCATAAAAAAGGCCCAATGTTTTTAGTTTTGATTGTCTTTTCTTTATTTATTTTGTTTAGATAATTTGTCTCAAATGTTTACTTGTACATGCTTATTTCCTGTTTAATTTTAGATTTTAATATTTTAGCTTTCTTGAAATTTTATTTAGTTAATTTTAGTTTTAGAATTCTATTTTCTCAATTATTTTAGATAACCAAACAATAGATGAATTATCAAATCTCCTAAATTTTAGGAACCGATGATGATTCTCTATCAATAAAAAAAATAATAAAGTTTCAACGAAGTCTCCTATTTGATAGGAACTGTCGTTTTACAAAAAATAAAAACAAAAAAATAATAAAAATGTTAAACTAAGTCTCCTATCTAATAGGGATTGTCATTTGATCAAAAAGATAAAAACAATAAAAATTCTAAATGAAGTCTCTTATATGATATGGATTGTCGTTTGACAAAAATAAAAATTCTTAATGAAGTCTCCTATCTAATAGGGATCTGTCGTTACCAAAAATCATCATTTAATCATGATGTTCTCCGACACATCGGTTGTGTCGATGCTTAAAGTGGATCCGATGTTTGAACCGACGTGTCGTCCGATGAAGGGGACTTTGGTGATCGTTTCAATATAAGGTCATGCCCAAAACTAAAAAAGTTATTCAACTTGGAAAATTGGAGTTTCAAATCGGAAATAACTATGCATAAATAAAACACCTTAGGAGATAAATTTAGGACTTAACCTAAATATGGTACCTTTTTCCGAAATGGCACTTTTGGGTGATTAAAAATCTTCCTAAAATTGTAATCAACTCCTTACTTTAGAATCTCCGAACTAGTGTTACTTTTAGGTTCCTAGTTCCTTAATACTAGGTGGGAACTCCGAATTTATAAATAACTCGTAAATAATAAATCTCCAATAATACTTGAATTTTCTTTTGATAGTCCCATTCGATGTCGGATAGCAACATATGTCATTTTGTCTCCTTTTGCTTTCATTTTTTTATATGATAAACCCCTCAAACAACTAAGATAATTTGATTTTCAGTCATATGAAGAAAATGAAACACGTAGGAAAGAGGAGGAAAATACCACAAACATCAACTTTTTAGTATTTTGGTTTTCTAGGGGATATTTCAAGTTTTCATGTTATAAAATGAAAATTCAGTTTTAAAAAATAAATTTTCAAAAAGTTGAAAACAAAAACTTCCCTTTTAGAATTAAAAAAAAAAAAAGAAACACTCGCTGAAAAAATAAAATTCCATACAAAACTATATGGATGGCATGGACACATTTCTTTTTCTTTTTTCTTTCTACGAGGATCCATGGACATGGTTGTTTATTTTTCAGATTTTACAAGTTTGTTTTATTGCTTTCTAGGCATTTCAAGTTTTTTTTTTTTTTTTTTAACATTTTGGGGTTTTCTAGTTTTTTATTTTTATTTTAATTGTTTTAAAATTATTTTATTTTTTATTTTTAAATTTTTCAAAATTAGTTTTATTATGGTGGTTTTGGGAACATTTTGGTAAAAACAAAAGTTGCAAAAATGGCCTAAGGAGAAAATATAATCGGACAAGGTTTTAATTTAGTGAAAAATTCTTAAAAGGATAACTAAAAGACTATTACACTAATAGATAAGGATAGATAGATTAATTAACCTCAATTATTTTTAATCTAAAAATAAGGATAGAGTTATTATAATTTAGTCCCTATAGTTTTGAAATATCAATTAAGTCTTTATGTTTTTAAAATCAATTTATAACATAGTCTTTTGTCTCAATTTTATGTCCTCTTTCAATTTATTTTTTTCTTTTCTTTTTTTCTGAAAAAAAGGAAAAAATGAAAAGAAAAAGAAGACTAAATAAAGAAAAAAAAACTATTTGACTAGCATCGACCTTCCTCAATATGTAGGTTTTATTCGAAAATGTATTATTTCCTTATCAACTATTAATTTAGTTGTATTTTATACTTTTTTAAATCTTGTTTCTCCATAAATCTTTCCGGCTTTCCATAGTGTGGCCTTAGCTCGTAGATTGTGATTTTCACTTCTTAATGAGCTTCTAACTCTTCGTAAAGAATAATAAAAGAAAGAAAAATAAAAACCCAGGTTCTTAGGTTTAACATGTATCCAATATAGTAACCCTCGTATTGATTTTAGAAATTGATAAGCCTAGATGTGTGAATGTTGATCTAATAATACCGGGAAAAACAAAAAAGGTAGTTAACCTTTTGAAATATATATATATATATATATATATATATATATATATATATATATATATATATATATATACGTGCAAGTGAAAAGTATCTAGTAGATTTGTTGCCAAAATGTAATCCCATCCCCACAACTTGGACAAAACTTTCGTAATATTTTTGGACATAATTGTTTGGTATAAATGTGTTTTTCGTTCTTTCTCCATAACTTAACCGAGAAAAACTTAAGTCAACGTACACATGGATGAATATACGGTACTTATTAATTGATCCAAAATTCTTTAAACATCAATACAAAGATCAATGTCACATGAAAAACATTTTTATTAATTTTCGTAATATTTTGTGAATGAGATCCGATTAATGCTATACTTGGGAAAGACAAACGAGCAAGGATGAAGCCATATATTTTATTTGGGTTACGGGATCTATATATCAATAATTTAACTCGGGGATGAAGCCAAAATCGGAGACCTATACATTTAATAACAAACAAACTCATTAACAAAACAAAGATCACCAATCAAGCAATCACCACACTCCACAAGAGAGGAAATCAAGGAAAACAAGATGGACTTCCATATAGAAAAGTTACTAAAAATTCTTTTGTTATCGATAAAATCGAGAGAGAGAGAGAGAGAGAGAGAGAGAGAGAGAGAGATTGACCTTAAGAGACGGGGAGAGCTTGCGAGAAGAGGAAGACACGATGACGCAACCGGCAAGAGCAGATGGAGGCAACCCGAGTAGGAGGACCCGAGGAGGATGATGACTCGCGAGGATGACTATGACTCCATGAGATCGGAGAAAGATGATAGGGATTGTGAATTCTAGCCGAGCAAACTAGGGCTTGGAGGTCGAATGACTAGAGGAGTGTAGTGGAGAGTGGAGGAGAAGGGAATGAAGCCAAAGAAGCCAAGGAGATTTGACCGTTTGGGAAGAAGACAAAAGCACCGAAGTAGTGAGCTAGTGACCGGTAAGACGATGAGAAGAAAATTGAAAGAGAGTGTGAGAGATTAGACTCGAAGCACGAGGTCATGAGGCATCGCCTATCGCTAGTTACAAGTTAGGATTTAGGGTTAGAGATTTAGAAATTGAAATAAATTAGGAATAAATTTCGGTTTTCGGCTTGAACCGAATTTTTTTTTTCAAAAACCGAACCGAACGAAATAAATTTTGATTTTTCGATGCGGTTATAAATTGTAAATTTTAAAATTCAAAATTGAACCAAATTTCATAATTCGATCCGGTTGTATTCGGTTTTCGGTTAACCGAACCATTTGCTCACCTCTACCTATAGTTTTGAAAAATCAATTAAGTCTTTATGTTTTTAAAATCAATTTATAACATAGTCTTTTGTCTCAATTTTATGTCCTCTTTCAATTTATTTTTTTTGCTTTTTTTTCGAAAAAAATGGAAAAAAATGAAAAGAAAAAGCGAGTAAATAAGATATTAAAAAAAAAAAGCTATTTGACTAGCATCGACCTTCTTCGGCTTGTAGGTTGTATTCGAAAATGTATTCTTTCCTTATCAAATATTAATTTAGTTATATTTTATACTTTTTTAAATCTTGTATCTCAATAAATCTTTCTAGCTTTCCATAGTGTGGCCTTAGCCCGTAGATTGTGATTTTCACTTCTTAATGAGGTTCTAACTCTTCAACAAGAATAATAAAAGAAAGAAAAATAAAAACTAGGGTTCTCACTTAGGTTTAACATGTATCCAACATAGTAACGCCCGTATTGATTTTAGAAATTGATAAACTAGCTTGATGCTAAAAGTTATGAGCCATATGTTATAACTCCGGACTATCTATGTACAAATTGTACTAATTTTTGACAACATGTTAAAAAATGTGAAAATTAGATGTTTTAACCACATGATAAAATATTACGTAATAAAGGAACAACTAAAAAATGCAAATGGATCATATTAAGAAAATATCGAAGTATAAGGACTAAATATGCAATTAATTCTATTATATATTGGGTGAAATAAAGAAAACACTAGAGTAATTTCAATTCATTTGAGCTATAAAAATACAACTTAACCTAGATGTGTGAATATTGATCTAACAATACCAGGAAAAACAAAAAAAAAAAAAAGTAGTTAACCTTTGAAATATATATAGAGAGAGAGAGAGAGAAAGAGAGATAGAGAGACGTGCAGGTGAAAAGTATCTAGTAGATTTGTTGCCAAAATGTAATCCCATCCCCACAACTTGGACAAAACTCTCGTAATATTTTTGGACATAATTGTTTGGTATAAACATGTTTTTCGTTCTTTCCCCACAACTTAACTGAGAGGAACTTAAGTCAACGTACACATGAACGAATATACAGTACTTATTAATTGATCCAAAATCCCTTAAACATCAGTACAAAGATCAATGTCACATGAAAAACATTTGTATCAATTTTCGTAACATTCTGTGAATGAGATCGGCATTGCTGTCGATATATTAGCCATAACTGAAAATTTATTATGCCGCCTGTGTCAGGCATACGTAACCTCTGCAGCTCACGAGCCAAATCCTTTTCTTTTATCACCCCGTGATAGCAGAAATCTGCATCCCACTAATAGCCAGCTATTAGCTTATTAAGACGTCAGATCGATCGTATGTCTCACCTTCAAAACATGTCACGTATATAATAGTTTAACATATTCTTCCAGCGTAATGATTTTATTTTAGCACAAAACTAGATTTTTTACTCGTCTGACATTGCAAATCGGATTATTTTTAAAAAATTATTTTATTTTGATATTATGTGTTATACTACACATCTATTAAAATATATTAAATAAAAAATAAATAAAAATTTATTTAATTTTATAATTTTATTAATCAAAATTTTATATTTAATTGACTATTCTTTATATTTTTCATAATATTTTTATCAAAAAAAATTATTTGATAATATAAAAAATGCCCAAACCAATGGATTCTTAACTAAAAACTTATTTTGTAATTTTTTTAAAATATTTTTTTTACCTTAAAATTTTTGATTAAAAAATCAGAAAAAAAATGATTAAAATGAAACAAAAAAGAGGGACGAAAGCCAAATAAAAAATATTTACGGACTAAAAAAATAATATTTAAAAAAAAGATCAAAATGTAATGTGATGAAAACTTTCATAATAAATATTTTAAAAATATTTGAAAACTACAAAAATATCACTATATATTAAAAAGAATAATGTATTTAAATATGTGTGAACAATGAAATGAGTTTGGATAAATAATATTTCAAATAATAAACTATTATTTTATTTTAGTTTTATCACTAATGTGGCCTGGTCGTGTGTGATAAGGATGATGGTGAAAAAAAAAAAACCTGGCTAAAGGCCTGGCAAAATCTTTTGAATTTTTACCTTAATCAAGTATATTATTTCTTATAAGAAAGTGATGACCAATAGGATTGCCCATATGGTATTCACATAATGAAAGTGACAGTTACATGTGAACTGGTGGATTAGCCACCCTAACAAAAGAAAACAGTTAAGTCAGTTTATCCCAGATATCATGCCTTGGCTCTAGGGATTGTGGTATACCACTTAAATAATTTGGTGTAGTGACCCGTTCGGGGTCAACTCTCTCTAGCTTAATACTAGTCAGCTAGGCGGCTAGCTCGGGTTAGAGCCTGCCTTCGGAGATTTACGTAGTTTGAACTTTCAACTTGAGGATTTCCTTTATGTGTGAAAAGGTTCAGTTTATTTTCTTGAGGAAGTGGGTGTATTTTCTAATACGTTATCATGACCACAAGAAAAAAGAAAAAGAAATCAAACTCAACAGAAACGGAATGGCTGAAATGGCTGGCTAGAGTCGCGGAAAATTTCAAACACAAAGATAGATCCACCATTATTTAGAAGTACACTAGCATCTTATGTGAGTTTAACTCCGCTATTAACAACTTTCTAATAAGTGAATAAACTAGAAAAAACCTATTTGAGACAACAAATTGGAGATGGGAACAGAGAACAACAGCAAGAAAACCAAAAACAGAAACAAAAACATGAAAAATTTAAAAACAAAAGGCAGATAAACAAGGGCAACAACAAAAATAGCATATCCGAGACCAAAGGAGAGAGATCAGATCATCAATAGCTGAACCAAAAGATTTGTAATAACTCAATTTTAGCCACTTTATTTTTACAAAAAATCAAAAATTCCGAAAATATGCATTTTTACTCAATTTATCAGATTTTTCAAAATTTTAATTTTTTACGAGTTTTCACAAGTTTTAATCAAGCATTTAGAAAATGAGAAAAAAATCAATCATAAAAATAAAAAACAAAAGAAAATAATTAAAAATACACAAGCTTCTAGCTTAACAAAGCTTAATCAACTTTGCTTGTCTACGAGCCCTATCCACAAAAGGTATTGACTTAATATGTAATATTATTTTTATTTTTCTGATAAAACATATCTAAGGAATAGTTAGTCGATGATGAAGTTAGAAATAAGATAACATTTTTTTTTTAACAAGAAGAAAATTAAAATTAGCCAATATGAATTAATAGGCTCGGGAACTCGAGGAGGCCAATTGGCTATTTTATTTTTTAAAAAGTTCCCTACATGATTTGTGGTCTTTGCATATTTATTGAATAGTAATGTTAGTCTACTCGGTCTAAATGTGTTTTTAATTGTTTGATGTGATGTTAGTTTAGAAAGAGTAGATTTAGGACATGAGAAAAACTTTTATTCCAATGACATGACTTTTTATTATCATCTTATTTTATTTTTTATTCTTATTGTTATTTTGGTTTATTGCATTTTCTTTTATTTTTCAATGCTATTAATTTTATCTTTTCGTATATTTAGTTTTGAACTTGGTATAGGATCTCGAGCCTAATTTTATTAATTTGGAAGTGGTATGACAGGTGAATATAGACTCAAGGCTTATGTCTACATTTTAAAATGATTTTGTCTTGGATTTGCAATTTAATTACATGGTTTGACCAATGAATTTAACATGTTAGAGCCCACATGAAAAGGTAAAAATCATGGCTTAAAACCCATTGCAAATTAAACAAATAAACCTATATATCGATCTTGAGTGAGATGATTTGAAAATCGAAAGAAAATTCAATCTCTCATCCAAGCCGTTAGAGCCCACATGAAAAGGTAAAAATCATGGCTTAAAACCCATTGCAAATTAAACAAATAAACCTATATATACAAAGTTGTATATATAGGTTTATTTGTTTAATTTGCAATGGGTTTTAAGCCATGATTTTTACCTTTTCATGTGGGCTCTAACGGCTTGGATGAGAGATTGAATTTTCTTTCGATTTTCAAATCATCTCACTCAAGATTGATTAGAAAGACCCAAATATCAATTTATGAATCAAGATAGGAAAGTGGACATTTAATTGGACTTTGCATGAAGAATTTCTCATAGGTTTGGATTGAATAGTAACCTCATTACGAGGACATATTAGGGTGATTATAGTCTTCTTTAATTGTGTAATCAATTCTCATATTTTTTTATGAATCTTTAGATAAATCTCATTGAATAATTTTTATTGGGAAGTTATTTAATTGATAGTTATTTTTTACCAAAAAAAAAAACTAAAGGATGGACTAAATCTTTTAAAAAATAAAATTCAAAAAAGGTCAAATCTGAAATTAAAAATTTTAAAATTGATTTCTTAAACAAACTAAAGTTCAAAACAAGTGTGTTCTATTTAGGTTAAAAATATATATCACAGAGAAGCTTTAGAAATTTGATAGTTTTCTAATGTTTTGGAACATTATCATTTTTTATATTAGAGCAATAAACATTATAAAGTCTATCTAATTTCTGAAAAATCAATGGTAACTAAGTAAGAAAATAACCTAAATCCAACAACTTAAATATTCTATTTTTATTTCTTTCATTTTTTTTGGGGTAAGTATTTTCTTTTATTAGTTGATATCTTAAACCTTAATCTTTGCAGGGACCCCATATTCACGGATCAAGTAAGCTACTCATTTCAAATTTCCGGTCAACAAAATTTAGCGGGTCATGCAAGTAATTGTCAATTGATCACAGTGTATTATCACAAGAATTAAAGTTTACATAAAATATTATCTATACGTAATTATATATAAAACACGAACTTTATTGTTTTAGGGATAACATTCAGAAAAAAATTTATTAAATTCATCAGAATATATTAATAACATACAAGTTACTCTGAGAATATTCCTTACAATAGGGGAAAAAAAAAGGATACATAAAATTTGTTTTGATCATAACAAATTCTATAATAATATTACTTTTTGCTCCTTTTCACAAAAGCCAATAATAATAACAAAAAAAACCAAAAAAAAAAAAAATCTATAATATTAAAATTAGCAAATAATAAAATACATCGAATTATTAAATTGGATTCTTAATTTTTTTTATACAAATTCTTTTGTTTATTAAATTATATTACTTTATTCTCCTTTCCACAAAAGGATTCATAAATTTGTTTTGCTCATTTTGACAAGTTATAATAATATTGTAAAAAAAAAAAAAAGGTATTTCTAAAACAAAGGATACATAAAATTTTTATTTGCGCCTGTATCGTTAGCTTCCATTCCTTCCACAGATAATAAAAACTAATCTTTAAAGTAAAAAGATTCACACTAATATGATATTAATGCTACAAATATCGCACTAAAATTTGGTAGGATTTTGAATACAAAAATTTCACAATATGCATCTTATATATTCGTGCAACATAAATAAATTTTATTTTTTTAAAAAAGTAAAAGACTCTTTTAGACAAAAGAATCCATAAATATTTTAATAGTTATAGTAATTATGGTAGAAAAATATAATGCATTTTCGTAATACTAAAAATTAAAAATTAGCTTTTGACTTCTAATGATTCATCAAGTTTTATTTTCTCAAATTTTACTAGAGCTTTCGACTGTATATATTTACTGAATATGTGTAATCAAAATAAAAAATTTTAAAATATATTAAATTATTTATTATCATACTTTTTTTATTATAATTATATTATCAAACTCACTTTCTTTCGACTTTTGTTATTGAAGCATTGAAAGAAAATATAATCATAAAATAAAACTAGCTATTTCTAGAGTAAATTAGAAATTAGTCTCTCTCGTTTTGAGAAATAAATTAATTAGTCTTTATGGTTTTGAAAACTAATTATTTAATTCTTTTAGCCGTTATTGACATGACTATTATAATATATTTTTTTATTTAATAAAATGTCTTCTTTTCTCATCAATCGTTTCATATATATTTTTTTATTTTTTTTATTTCTTAAGATAAAAATTTAAAATAAATTAAAAAAATAAAAAATAGTTAAATAATTAGTTTTTAAAATTAGAGAGACTAATGAATCGCTTCTCGAAGTGAGAAGGATTAATTTATAATTTACTCCTAATTTCTGCTATGATCATATAGGACACATGGCTAAGCTATAGTTCCACCGTATAATATTTATGTTTTAAGATTCCGTCATTTTTATTTTAATAATATGATCTAATTAAATTAATTTTTGAAACTAAAATATCAAACTTTTTATCATAAAAAAATGAAACTCTTTTTATCTTTTCAATTCTTTCATTCCTTAAAATAAAGACTTCGGACTTTTTTGCAATAACATGATAACAATAAAAATTTTTCAATTGCTAACTATATATATGTTTGTGTGTATGTCCGTGATTTGTTTTTTTTTTTGGCAGAAAAATATCTCTAAATGTTTAAAAATCAAGCATTTTAATTTAATCAAAAATTAGTTTTATTCATCTAATAATTCAAAACACGCTAATAAAGATTGAAAGAATTTTTTTTTTTGAATATACATGTGCAAAAAAAAAAAAAGTATATATAAGAACTTACGAAACAAACAAGATAATAGACTAATATAAAATATTGAAGAAGAGTTTTTGAGATCGTAAGTAATATCATGAAAACAGATGATGAGTAATATATATTCTGAAACATTCCTTTTTCTATCCATGCACCATAATTAGAAAGTGTTCGATTTTTACTTGCAGCGTACATAACATGTAAAATTATTTTAAAAAAAGTAATTTTAATTTGAAGGTATACATTATATTATGAGTTTATTAAGATAAATCAAATCAAAAGTAAAATCAAAACTTTTTTTTTTAATTCTATCAAATCAAAAGTAAAATAATTTTTTTAATTCTATGTTTAACTAATTATTCATTATATTTGTTTTACAATTTTGCTAAAAAGAACACAATTTATTCTTTTATATTAGGATTCTTAACTAAAAACTTGTGAGAAAATTAAAAAAAACCATAGATTCCTACTAAAACTTTTCTTATAATTTTTTTTTCAAAAAAAATAAAAAATCTAAGACAAATTATCTAAAATACACTTGTAATCTTTAGATTATATATATATATATATATATATTATCATTTAAAAATTAAAATTTTTTTTCATATAAATTATATCAATTTTTTGAGAGCAAATAACAATATTCTAAAAATTCATTAAAAAAAATCCATAAATAGATCTCTCTCTCCTCCCTCTTCTCTCTTTATTTCTCTCCTCTTAACGAGTTAGCAGTTAATAGCTAAATTACAATACAAATAAAATTATAAATCGAAATAAAAATTATTGAAATATGAGGGATGCAAAAAAAATATTAACAAAATTTTACATATAAAATACTTGAAAAAAAACCTCAAAATTACTATTAAAAAAACCATTAAAAGGTATGTGAATAGTGTTCTGAATGAAATAAATTCCTAAAAATATAGTTAAAATAATAAAAAATACCCTTTCCTTAAAATTAAAAAAATACCGTCGAATAAATAATATTATTTGATTATGTAAATAATATAAAAATAATAAAAATCTCTTATCGTTTAGGGTCCTTTATAATAATAGCTAGACGGGATACCCTTTACTGTTGGAGGAAAAAGAAAAAGAAAAAAAAAAAAAAAAGCATAGTAGGTTAGGTTGACCTGTCTATAAATATGTCCATCATCTCTTCACTAACTAAAACATAAATCCATCTATATATCCTATCTAATTTTCACTAGAAGATGAGTTGTTTCAATCTTAAAAACTATTTACTAATCATCCTCAACATTGTTTTGTTTCTTTGGTCTTCTAGATTTGAAACTTGCCATGCAAGAGAAGGCAATCAGTGGAGATCAAAAACCAAATCTTCCCCTGCAGCCACCGTGCTAGATGTGGAAGAAGAAGGTTATGTTACGGCTGGTAGCAGCCATCAGCAGCCTGGCCGCAGTACCATGTCGAAGTTTATGGGTAATAAGTACATGTGGGTTGATGATAACATGGCAACACAGCAAGTGGGGAGCTCTACAACTTTTAATGTATTAGATTTTGGCGCTAAAGGTGATGGAAATGCAGATGACTCCAAGGTGATTATTTCTTTGAGTTTCCATTTTTATTTGATTGCCTGTAGTAAGCAGCAGCTGCTATCAAAATGAAGATCGAAAGATGACCGAGTTTAGTTAATTTTATAATGGTAAAAGAAATTATAATAAATTGTCATCCCATCATTTGGAGCGCTAATTAACTAGGAATCAAATCTATGTTTTAAGCGCTAGCTACATGCATTGATTATTTTTATATTCTATTTGTCAAAACTTTGATTTCGGTGACAATGTGAGGAAGGCATTTGAGGCAACATGGGCAGCTACTTGTAAAGTGGAGGCATCAACAATGATTGTTCCATCTGGATTTGTTTTCCTTCTCCATCCGATATCTTTTTCAGGTCCTGATTGTGAAGCCAACATTGTATTTCAGGTATATTTCCACGAAGACCTCAACTCTTTTTTCAAATCTGATGTTTTAATAACCAAAAATAAAAGGCACCTATCTTTTCTAATTTCACGCAGTTGGATGGTAAGATCATAGCTCCTACTAGTTCTGGAGCTTGGAAAACTGGCCTTTTACAATGGATTGAGTTCATAAAACTGAAGGGAATTACGATTCAAGGTAAAGGCATTATTGATGGACAGGGTTCTGTCTGGTGGAACCACTCACCAACATATAATCCTGAAAACTCAGAGGTAAAAGATACAATCAGGCCATAGTTCTCATCCAAGAAATTATATACGTTCACAGCAATTTTCATTTCACGATTTTATTAAATCTAACCTTTCCCCGTCTTGCCCAAATAATATCTGGTGGGAAAAGGGTGATCTGAGTTCAAAAATGCCAGGCACCAAGCCAACGGTAATCGCATTCTCTCAAAGCCTTGTCAATGTATAAAATTAATGCCAAAACATAGGTGTCGATGTTACCCTTAGCATTGCACTGCAGGCTCTAAGGTTTTATGGAAGTACTAGTGTGACAGTCACCGGCATCACGATCCAAAACAGTCCTCAAACTCACCTCAAATTCGATGATTGCACAACTGTTCAAGTTTCTGATTTCACTGCATCATCACCTGAGAACAGCCCTAACACAGACGGAATCCATTTGCAGAACTCCCAAGATGTGCTCATTTACAGTTCCGATCTTGCATGTGGTAATTCTGCAACTGCAGATTACCTACTCCACAAATCAACGTGACCATTAAATTAAGTGGGATGATAAATCATCAATTTTGGGCATCGATCACAGTGTTAACTCATGATTTTCTAACCTGTTATGTATCCTGCACCATTCTTCAGGGGATGACTGTGTATCTATACAGACCGGATGCTCAAATGTATATATACACAATGTTAAATGCGGACCTGGACATGGAATTAGTATTGGAGGATTAGGAAGGGATAACAGCAAAGCCTGTGTTTCGAACGTCACTGTCCGAGACGTTGCAATGCTCAATACTTTAACTGGTGTCAGAATAAAGACATGGCAGGTATACTAGCATCCATACTATGCTATAATTTTGTTCTCCAGCGACATGCTCTATTGGGAGCACATACCTAGCTTACAGTTTTGTGTTTTTTTTTTTTTTTTTTTTTTTTTTTTTTTTTTTTTTTTTTAATGCAGGGAGGCTCTGGCTCGGTACAAGGAGTAACTTTCTCAAACATACAGGTTAGTGGAGTTAAAACACCAATCATGATTGACCAATTCTACTGTGACAAGAGCAAATGTCAAAATGAATCTTCAGCTGTGGCTGTGTCAGGCATAAACTACATAAATATAAAAGGCACATACGCATCAAAACCTGTACACTTAGCCTGCAGTGATGACTTGCCATGCACCGGAATATCTTTATCTACCATAGAGCTAAATGCCGTTGAAGAAGACAGCCAACCTTTCTGTTGGAACACTTATGGGGAACTTAGAAGCTCCACTGTTCCTCCAATTAATTGCTTACAAATTGGCAAATCAAGACAAAACATTGATTGCTGAGCTTAGCCGTGGACTTTATATATATTTATAGTATGAGGACATATGTAGGAGGTCATTATGCAGTAAAATGCCGATACTCTTAATTAATTGTTATAGTCTGCATAAACTACTTATTCTTCCAGTTAATAGTAAAATTAGCTAGGCACCAAACGATAAAAGCTTTATGCATGAAATCCAATGGTTGGTTGTTAAGGATTCCGTCAACACTTATATATCAATACTTATGAAAGATGGGGCAGAGATAATTGCACATCTAAAGGATCAAAGGAAGACCAGATATTGAGTTACATTCTATCTTTAATTTAAAGGTACATCTCAAGAGAAAAATCAGCTGTACTTGAATGTTTAAGCATCTGCAGAAAACAAGGATGAAATGATATATAGCACCAGAAACTTTTCGCTGCCAAAGTACCATACGAAACAAAAACGAATAAAATAAGAGGCATGGAGAGAATAACTTTGAAAGCAGATCAAAGATAATGATTTTATCGCTGGATGTCTCTTAATAAAACAATCAGGAATACAGAAACCACAACTTAATGATAGTGGCCTCGAAAATGATTCACAGCTACCAGTAGTAATGTCTAAGTAAGATAAGCGATGGAAAATCAGCAGATTTATGTGCCAGTACTACAGCTTCTACTTTAAGAAAAATGGAATATGGAATACATAGCAATTTTCTCTCTCTCTCTCTCTTTTTTTAATTCATGTAAGTTTCATTAATGGTTTGATAAAATATCAAAAGTTAAAAGGCACCAGACGGTGACAAACGACAAGGCCCACCAACACCTAAAAGGATAAAATTAAAGGAAAAACGTTGATCCAGTCAAAGAAAACCCAGAATAGCAGATAGTACAAGTAACCAGCAAAATAATACGACGCACCATAATCTGATATTTCTGAATATGCAGAAAACACCTATGGCAGCTTTATTGCTAACAGAAGCCTGCATATCTAATCATAGTGTTATGCAAAAATTTAATATGGGTTTTTACCCAATAAATTAAAAGAAAAAGAACTCAATAGATTCTTCAATGTGTTTTTCTTCAAGGGATTCTTCTTCTTTAACTCTTTTTTATTTTTTTATTTTTTTCACTTAGAACCCATTATCGAACAGATTCCCACAAGAACCATTTCCAGTCCATAAGTTTCATCATTTACTCACTGCCTAGAAATCCAGATCTAGATGAAATAAACTGGAGGACTCGCCACTGTAAAAAAAAACTAGTGAGAGAAATGCAAGGCATGGACTCTTAGAAAAACTAAATGTGGGAAAACAGTCTTATTTGAAGGAAGAATCAATCAACAAGTAATTAGTAGAAGAATAATAGAAATCTAGCATGCATAAAAGCAGGATTTAGATAGTTAAAACGAATGTGGGATACTGCAACACAAGAATAGCATAACTGCTGCAAAGAATGTAGTACATTGCAATGCAAAAAAGAAGATTGAGAAAGAACATAGAGTAATACAAGTTACGTGGTAAAAACTTGAAAAAAGTGACCCACTATAAAAGATCATCAAGGAATAAGAAGTCTATAAATCCCTACTGCATTAGAAGGAGAAAACACATAACAAACTCTTAAAAATTGCAACCAACTCTAAGAGCATTTTTTTTTTTTTAATTTCAACATAATTGAAACTTGTTATGATGTAGTTAGCAGGCTGTAATTTGTAGACAATAATTTATAGACAGTAATCAAGTAGGCTGATAATTGATATATTGGTAGCTTTTTTCTAGTTCTCATTGCTTGTGTTCGCAATGATATTGATCCTCGGTTCTTTCAAAGAGTGTTATGTCCGGAATGTCAATTTGTAAATATTCAGTTTGAGTTTTGTTATCTTGATTGCATATTAGCCTAAAAGTTTGAATTATCAATCTATAATAATCATTGTCTTGAGTAATTGTTCTTGCAAACTTGCAACTCAACCAGACTTGGACATGCCTCTCTCCAATACAAACAGATTATAACTTTTTTTAATTTAATTTTATAGTAAGATAAAATACCAAAAACATCATTAGAACAAGTAGTAGAGGGTTTACCATAGTTAATTTTATTTGCTTTTGAGTTTAGAAGATAAGGTACCTTGTAGACTACTATCCAACAATTCTTATTATTTTCTTACAAAGTCCTCTTACTTGAGGTCGATACAAAAGAAACCGTAATAGATTATTGAAAATCATGGTAAAAGTGCTATTCTAGGTGCTATTAAGAAATCAATAAGAGTTAAAAGTCATTCCCCTACAACATCAACTCGTCATATAAGAAGAGGGGTTAGAATCAACTAGGCCTAATCAAATAGTGGATGTCGTTGTTCTCTTGTTAGTTGAAGAGAGGCAAAACTAGCTTGAGGCTAGGTTTGAAAAAGGTTATAATTTTATAAAAATCAAATACCAAGCTTTAATTTAGCAAATAAAAGATAAGCATAAATTGAAAATACAATTAATAAAGAACCATTAAAAGGAATTGATGTAGCCCACTAGATAAACTATCCACACCTCACACACCTTAGTAAAGTCTAATGTCAAAGAAAGAGAAATGCATTTACAAGAATAAGGCATGATTTAGATATTTGCAAACTTTAAGGAGACAAGTTTATATGGGTTCAAACCGTTGATGGATGTGAGCAACCGCCTAGAATCTAGGATAAGAAAAAAAGTGAAACGAGATGTTGTGATTAATGATTTTAATTACATCATATCTAAAACCATTCATAAAATCTCTAAACAAGTGGTTGTAGAAGTGGGAAACCAAATGGGTGAAAACTTTCTAAGGGGGTTGGCATGATCTTCTAGAGTGAATCCATCGAGAAGAGCCTATAATGACTCATATAGAGATATAGGTGGTTTTCAAGGAAGAGGTAATCCACTCTTCGAACCTAAACATTTTATCAAACCTATAGTGAAACCCATTGATATAGGTGAAACTAGTAGTTATGGACCTTCATGATTCCACAAAAGCTAGAAATCATAAGCGTAGGTCTATAAATGAAAGAGTGAAGGGGAAAATCCAATAGAAAGGTAGAGAATGTCTTTCAATGATTAAGAGCTAAACTGACATCCTCTTGTGTAAGCTGTTAACATCTAAATTTAATCATCAATTTTTTTTTAAAAAAAAAACACTTTCTTGATCGATTTAATTTGATGAAAATTAGACATTTCTTCAAGTTTTGGTGAATTTTCATTATTTATGAGATTTCAAAAAATCACTAAGAATCAAAAGAAAATAAATAAAAAATAAAGCAATAAAGAAGAGAAAAAAGAGAGAGGATAAAGTGGAAAAATGACATTGGGGTGTCAATTTAAAAAATTAAGAAAAGTGAGGATCAAAAGAAGTCTAATTAAGTGGCATAACTAGAAGAAGTGAGAAGCCAATTGTCTTGATTGAGGACAAATTTGACAAAATTGAAATAAATAAAAAGAAAAAGGACTAGAGAAGTTCAATTGGATTTACAATAAAAAAAAAAAGACATGATTAAAATACAAAAGACACGAAAAATAGGAGAGCAAAATCAAATGTGGCCATCCATCCTAAACCTTACCTATAAAAGCTCATCTACTTCTCTTTTTTAAGTGCGAGTCGGCACTAGAGAAAGAACTCATAATATATATATTCTTTCTCTCCCATTAAAAAAAAAAAAAAACACCATAGTAGAACACCCTACTTCCCTTCATCCCAAACCACCATTAAACCAACCATTACACATTGTTCCTTCTTTCTCCTCCCACTAGCCAAAACAAACCCATAATAACCTTGTTGCTATCTAAGCTTCTTCGACCTTATGCTATCATTGTTCCTCTCTCTAGTCATTGTTGGTCATTACCAAAACTCAATAACCACCTTTAATAGCAACACCTAACATCTTCTAATAACCACTACCACCTTGTGATTGCTCGAAAAAAAAAAACTATCCATCACCACTAAGTCATCTCTCATCACCACCATCCACTACCATTAACTCATCTCTCATCACCACCATCCTCAAACCAAATAGTAGAGACTCTCTACTATTCATAACAAACCAAACCTTCATAACCATCCACATCAATTTTTTCACTTGACTTTCCTCTTAGTGTTATTAAACAATCATTACCATTAGAACTTTCCATCACTACCATGAACCCTCACCAAACGACCACTAACACTATTGCTCGTCGTAAAGCCTAGTCAATTAGCCACCACAATCTCAAATCCTTATCAAATAGTCACCAACGCCAATGTCAACCACCAAACCTAGCCAAACAGACCATCCCGAGTCTCATACTCCCACTTTGTAGACCACCATATGTCGTTTCCTCTCATCATCACCCAATTTTGTGACCATATAATAACAACACTACCTAACTTGAAAAGAATGATGAGTATGAAAAAGAGAATTGAATTTGCCAAGCTTGAACCTTAGGCTCATTTACTTGAATCTGTTGATGTTTTTTAGTTTTGCTTTGGTGTTGAATAGGTAAAATAGAGATCTAAAACTTAGCCTTGATATATTTTGAATTTTAAAATTGATTTTTGCAGAAAGTTTTGATGGTTATTGGTAGTAATTGTCCCTCTTTGGTCGGCTAAAATCATTGCAACCTTTATTAGTGGGTTAAAGAAAGTAAAAATAACTTGAAAGGTATTTCGATAACTAAACATAGTAGAAATAGCATGATCATCCCTATAGCTTTTTGCAGTCTCATTGATTGTTATGGGTAAAATCTCAAAAATTATTATATACTCAATAATTGTGATATGTTACAAAAAAAATATGAATTATGATGTAATTGATTGTTGAGAAGTGTTGAGATACGCCATTACATATCAATTTGAAGAGGATGAAAGCTCCAAGATATTGTAGAGAAATAAGGCTGATTTAATTGGCTCATTGCATGGCTTGTGATGAGATTGCATATCGAATATGCTTGATATTTACTTTTACAATTTGTTTAACATCTACATATCAAATATGTTTGTGTTGGCTTGTTTGATTATGCATATTTTCCTAAAAATCATGAT